GCGCGCCGGGGCGCGGTGTGCGGCCGTGGGGGGGGGGCGGGTGTGTCTGCAATGGGGGTATGTCTGTAATGTTCCCTTTCGTTGTTATGGTCTGTAATGGTAGCCTGTCTGTAAGGGGTGGGGGCCACAAAAGCTCGAACTTAAAACTTACACTCACTATTTTCTTTGAAAATATATGTGAGTTCCACAATAAAAAGGAAATATCATGACAACAACGATTATAATAAAAGTCATATAGCAGGCAAACTAGATTATAAAGTTTGCCACAAATTAAGCAGCAAGATACTGCAAAACTGTACTGATCGAAAAACAACTTCGACTAGGGTGTGGGTATGGGTATGGATGTGGGTGTGTATGTGTTACGATCGTATTGTTCCCATATAATCGTAAGACGGAGAGGAGATACACTTTCTAGTAAAGTGGTTAATACGTCTGCCCGAAAAGCAGGAGGTGCATGGTTCGATTCCTTGCGAAGAGGGATTCTTTTTCTCCGTTCTGCCGTCATTCGAGGATAAGAGATATAACAGTATGTGAGGAAATGGAAGACCCTCAGTTCAGCCTCACCCACTCACACCCACACCCACACCCTCAAGTAGCTCAAAGTAGCTTAAAGTACTTCAAAGTAGCATAAAATAACTTCAAGTACAAAAGTCCGCTGTTTCCCCTTGATTTAGTTGCATGAATAGGGTGTGGGTGTCGGTGAGTATAGGTGTGTTTTTCATCTTCTCAACCCACACCCACTCCCGCACACCCTACAAACCATATCCATGTCTTTTGATATTTAACATTCTTTATCTGTGTACATAAACAAGAACGTGACAGAATTCTTTTTCTTAAAATGAAATAAAACCACAAATACTCTTCATTAGTCGTGATTCGAATCATTATTGAAATGGGGCTGTTCGTCGAATAAGACTTTGATGTTGTCAAGTAATATTTGAAGTTTTGTGATGAATGAAAACAAATTGTAGGATTTTATATGCTAGACTGAAGAGAAAAAAAGAGAATCAACTCGAATAGAATTAAATGTTTGTTTTGTTTCAGCACTTTTAGAAACTTTATCAATCAGAATAAAGATCGGCGGCGGCATTGATTTCATCACATCATTTTTTCATATTTGATTACTGACTTTTTCAAAAGTAGCATTTGATATAATTATCAGCAGAAGTTTTCTTCATTCTGCATTCGAAACTGATAATATCATCTATATTGAAAAACATTTTTTATCAGCAACGGTAAAGTTATTTAACTTAATAAAGAAAGAATTTTGAAGGACATGCTTGTCAGTGACTGTGATAAAACACTTCAAAAACATTTATTTTTCACAACGTTTGAAAGTTGGTAAATTGTGACAGCTTTTTTATGAGTCATAATGGCATTAAAAGAAAATGTACACATTGATTATTCAAAGAATAGAATACGACGATATCTGTATATGGATAATTCAATTCTTATTTGGTTGATTGACAAAACAAGAGAAGCTGAAGAAACGTTACAGATCGATGAACTAACTCAATATCCGGGCCTATCGATTGAATCATTTACCGATATTGATGAATTTTTCGATTTTCTTACTCAAATAATCGATGAAAAAATCTTAATTATATCCGAACCTTTAATTACAACAGTTGTCTCAATTTTTCACGACGTATCAATTCTACATTCCATTTATGTCCTTTCAAGTGATACAATAAAAAACGAAGATCATATATCATTATTAGCAAAATATTACAAAGTTCAAGATATTTACACTGATTTATCCATAATGAGTAACATTATCAAGAAAAATCTAAAATTAGTTGATAATAATTTTCAATCAACAAATATTCTTCCTGTATCTCATTTTCAATCAACAACAGAACCAGACAAAATTGATTCCATGTTCATGTATTGTCAATTATTAAAAGAAATATTTCTCGAAAGGAATCACGATGAAGAAGAAGCCAAACGAAAATCACTTGAATTTTGTCGACAAGAATATGATAAAAATAGAAATGCGTTACAAGTTATCGATGAATTTTTACGTGAATAATCGAAACAGACGGCAATCAAATGGTATACGCGTGATATTTTCCTTTATCGTATGTTAAACAAATGTCTTCGTATGCATCATATTAAAACAATGAATAAGTTTGGTTTTTACATCAAAGATCTCTATCCTGAACTTCAAGAATGCCGTCACCATCGACAGTAGCAGCATCGATCATCTGAAAAACTTGTTCTTTACCGAGGTCAAGGGTAAGTTCATATACTCTAAAAGTCCTTCATAAAGAATCAGTGATACTTGTCATTTTGTAGTATGTCACATCAAGCATTTGAGCAATTGATGGAAAAAGTTGGTGGCTTAATTTCGTTCAATTGTTTTCTCTCGACTAGTGCAGATAAAATTGTAGGTCTTGACTTTACGATAACTTCACTTGAGGAGGACCCCGATTTACGAGCGGTTCTTTTTGTAATTGACGTCGATTCATCGATGAACATGTCAAGCCCTTTCGCTTGTCTTGGTGAAACTCATACAAATTATACTGAAGAACGTGAGTATCTTTGGGGAATGAATACTATATTTCGCATTGACTCGATTCAACAAATGAACAATGGTGTGTGAGAAGTCAATTTACGTGCCACATTGGATGATGATCCGCAATTAATAGAATTGACCGATTACATGCGTCAAGATATTACAGATAGTAGTGGACATAAACGATTAGCTCAATTGATGATTCAAATGAGTGAATGGGCTACAGCGAAAGAAATCTATGAAAGTCTCATGCCAAAATCTGACAGCAATAATTTCATCAGTATGGCGTTTTTACATCATCAATTAGGTTATATTGCTCGTCAAATGAGAGATCTAGATGAAACAGTTTGACATTATCAACAAGTGCTTTCTTTGGATTTGACTCGTATGCCTGAAAATGATGAACGTTTAGTCACCGTGTATTCAAATATCGCCTTAGTGCTGCATCACACAGGAGACGTTGATCAAGCTCTCGAGCAGTATCTTCGTGCATTAAACATCATAGAAAATAGTAATCAACCGGATAAAGAGCAGCTCGTACGTATTTACAATACGGCTCATTCACAGAACCATATCCAGTAATTCATAAGCGATAAGATATCACCTTAACTATTGTCTGTCTAAAAAACACAATAGTAGGAGCGACGATTTTTGTACTAATTCAAGACGGAAAAAGTTAAAGAGCTGCAGTTTTGATCATTCACAAGAGCAGACCGAAAGTCGTCAAAGTATATCCAAATTTGACTGATCAGCAATTCACCAATCAGGTGTTTTCTTGGAAAAGATTTTCGATAATGATACTATGAAGTTAGTTTCAGTTCGATTTTGTCTTTCAATAGAACTTTTCGATAGAAAAAATGTTTCCCTTGCGGCCTGTACAAGAACGCTATTCCTAACTAGTTTCGTTCGCAAGTTAAAGGACTTATCCTGAGACCCCGATCTCAGATAATAGACCTGTGGTCAGCTTTAAAAACAGGTAGATAGAGGTAATTCATTATGCTGCATCCAATGGTGATATTTATTTTTCGGTTCGTACTCCTCGTCACATAGAGAGTTCTCGTGGAATTTGCATAACTATTGAGATCAGAATGCCAGATAATTTATAACCTAAAAACAAATATTACCATTGGGCTCAGCATAATGAATTACCTCTACCTAGCTGCTCATAGACTCATTAGGTGAAATCGGTGGTGTCAGGAAATGTTCTGTTACTCTCAAGTGGAATGCACTAAAAGCGGCGGCCTTGTGTAGATAGAAAAAGAAGAACTTTTTTTATCGAAAAGTTTTATTAAAAGTCGAAATTGAAATGCAAATAGTTTCAGATTATCATTTTCGATAATCCTCACTAAGAAATCACGTGATTATTCAATTGTTGACCACTCAAATTTTGATATACGATGATGATTTCGGATCTTTTCTTTTAAATGGCTAATTCCTCATATTTGAACAAGGTCAACTCGATTACTTGTATGACAAATAAACTTTCTAAGAGCAACTACTTGCCAGCAGCTTCACCATCTTATAAATGTTTTCAACTCGCAATTAGTTTACTTCACTGACAATATTTTCTGTTTTGGTTTAGACTGCTTTACTTCACAACATTGGATCTGTTCAACAAGAAAAAGATCAAATCGATGAAACACTTCAAAATTATCTTCAAGTTAGCGCTATTCAAGATAGTTATTTGCCCATCATACATCCACATCGAGCGCGAACGTACAATGGTATTGCTATTCTTTCTGCTGAAAATTGAGATATGCCAACAGCGCTAACTTATTTCCTCAAAGCTTTGACTATTCAAGAGAGATCACTTTCAAAGAATCATATCGAACTTGCCATTATTCATAGCAATATGGCCCACTGTCTAACATCTATTGGACAGTTTAAAGATGCATTAAACCATGCTGAAATCACACGCGATATTGCGCGTCATACATTACCACAGGGTCATCCCGATTTAGAAGAGTTTGAGAGTGACGTTACTCAATTACAATCGATACTATAAATTAGTGTTTTTCTATTAATGAGAGTGTGGGTTGAGAAGATGAAAGGCACACCTATACTCACCGACACTCACTCACACATCCTCGGTATAAATATTTAATTTTTTTGTAATCATTTGTTTTTGTAATAATTTATTGAATTTTAGTTTTGTAACATCACAAACTGGAAAACTCTATATGCATTCCGACATAAGATTAATATTTGCACGTAATAAACTTGATTATGATGAGCGAACAGGAGGTGGACAATCTCAATTAGTGACAACAACAGAAATGCCGACATCAAAATATTGATCACGTAAATAGAGCAAAAGGCAGTACGGACTTATACTTATATTTTGAGTTATTATATATATTTTTTTCTTCATTCTCTATGTTTAATTTGTTTTTGGATTTTTATATATATAATAATATGACAGGAAGCTCATGAAAAGTTTTCTGTTGGCATAACTAAAAGTTTTTCGTAAAATTTCAATCATAATCATACACTTGATTATTCAATTTATTCTATTGAATATAGAACAGAATAGAAATCATTCATCGGTCTTGTCTGAGTGAAATCTCCTATTTTTTGTTTTGTTTTCTAGTTGATTGCACTTTTCAGGTTATCAACTATAACACTATTTCATTATATTCTTTATTCAATTTGCCAAGTTATTCTAGTCAGAGCTTTGATATTTAAATGTTTAGAAATTTTTATCTGACAAACTTATATTATTATTCAATTCTTGAACAAATATTAGTATCAAATGACGAAATCATTAATAATATTATTTTATATTTATTCCCATATGAAAATGGATGCCAATGATCAGATTATACTTCCTATGAAAATGCTATTGTAAGTAATTATATCGTGCCAGATAATAATAGTAATTAGCGATGTAATGGTGGTGGTAAACCATCGCTTCACCGTCACCATTGCATCCCTTACATTCGGCATCGAAGATCGATGCTCACACCCCGTCATTACGAGCTCTGTCTTCCTTTCTATTTAAATCCTATTAAAATTGCGGTGAAGTTACAGTACTAAAGGAAAACAAGAGACTATCGTATTCTCTGTATTTCTACGTCAATGAATGAAAATTGACAATTCTTTATTGAAGTCAATAGCGATACTTCAAGCAAGTCTTTTATCGATATTTGTTGGTTCAACTGGCCATTATGACAATGCTCAGCGAAGGTTCACTAAAGATCCATTGAAACGTTGCAAATTATTCTACTCGGTGCATTTTTTTACGCTTAATCAGGATCTGATGTCAGATGTTAGTGCTGAAATGGGCTAAAATAAATTCATGGGGACATACTAAAAATTGTTCATATTGGTTAATAGAGCATGTCTTTCTATCGAAATTTTCTCCAGTCCTTTTTAGCCGATATTTTTATGTCAAAAGACGTATTTATGAGAGGCCCATCTTTGATGAAAAAATCAGCTTGATGTACGCAACGAACTTTCGATACGGAAAAAGTTCAAAATATGGTCTTGATATTTTTTGCTTTCCACTCATTCAATGTTATTTCACTTTTCAGATCCCATGTGACAAAGTTATCTAGAATGTGACAACATATTTTTTTCGATTTTGTTCTAAAAGTCTTCAACGATCAAAATAGCAAGCGGTGGAAAATGTATCTTTTGTGTACCCACGAAGTTTTCACAGAATGCATTCGACGTTTTGAATAGTTTTATTGATGTTCGTTAAAAACTCTATTAACTTTTTCGAAAGTGCTGTTGCATTGCGTCTACTATTCTTCTCGATGTTCTGATTTATAAATCCATTTCTGTTCCGTTTTTTCGAACTCACGATGAATGCATCCTGGATACGATAAGAAATCATTAGCTTCTTCTCGATTTTGAACAATACGACTTGGTAGTGACTTGGTCATATGAGTATTGGGATGCGTGGATAGACGATCGTGAGATGAAGATTCCACTGAGTTAGTCCCAATAGGGAAAACAATCATTTGTAATATGAGCACACTACCTATTCACAAAAGGCAATGAAATAACAAGTTATACATAACTAGATTCGACTTACAGGTCATGCTGAGCAGCATTTTTCAAAATATAGAAGAATCTTAGTCGAAGTTTTGTGTGAAACGCATAGGCACAAATTCGTATCGCTGGTTGGCTTTTTCCAACTTTCAAAAACATGCACTTTCTCAGCATTCAGATGAAACGATGCAATGTCGACAAATTTGTTTTTGTAGTATGCTTTGTTTATTGTTACGTCCTACGACACTTACAATGAGGGAAAGAATGAAAAGGGAGAACAAAAAAAAAAGGGAGATCAAAAATGAAAAATAAAAAAAAAGACGACAAAGAAGATTTAAAAAAGGTAAAGGGTGTGGGTGTGGGTGTGGGTATGGGTGTGGATGTGAGGAAATGGAAGACCCTCAGCTCAGCCTCACCCACTCACACCCACACCCACACCTGCTACAATTTCATGCTAAAAGATCGATAATTACTGATATGTTAGGTGACAGCCAGCATAAAATTTAGTAAGTCTACTTTTTGCTATTTTCCTGCCAAAGAGAGAAAATGTCTTCGTATATCAATATTTTACCTCAAAAAATCATCTCGGACGGTTCGAAGTTTTTAGAAAGTAGTACAAAACAACTGTCTGCATAAGAGCATGAAATATTGACATTGAAATTGCTGATAATTGTAACATAACTGATATAGATAAGCTATAGTATTCCAATTCTTTAGTAACTGTCTTTTAGGGTCTTAAAAATATTATATTATCATAGTATTATAAAAAATTAAATGATTATATGCTATAATTTCATATGAAGTTCTAGTGAGAAACTCTCTGGATATCACAAGTAGGATGATTTCTGTTACTCCATAAAACTTCGAATCGTCCGAGATGATTTTTTGAGGTGAAATATTGATATACGACGATATTTTCTCGCTTTGGTAGGAAAATACCAAAACATAGACTTACTAAATTTTATGCTGGCTTTCACCTAACATATCAGTAATTATCGATCTTTTAGCATGCAATTGTAGCCCAACTGATGGTTGTTCATTGCTCCAAAAATGTGCTCATTTGCTTGAATAATTGAGACTCCAGACTCATGATAAGTTTGCAATGTTCATCAACGCATAATTTCTGTTTAGTGAAGTGTTTGCTTTTGAAACTTTCAGAAAACAATGGTCATCTATGGAAAAATATCTTCTGAAAATTTCAGATGAATCCATCAAACTCTTGCTGAGTTATTGAGTTCTCAATGCCATTCTACTGTTTTTGTGCATATGCATGTTTTTGAGTAAAAATGGTCCATTTCATTAACAACTTGATAGACTTCGATAAAATTTATACTAGAAATAGATATAATGCAGGGCTACAAAATGAAAGATTGATCGACTCAAAAGGTCGTTTTATTCTCGAGTTATAAGGTTCACAATGATCATGCATGCCATCTATTATAGCTTCGTTCTAGTCTGTGCGATTTTGACGCTGGTGGTGTGGCTGATCTACATTCTCTGTAGACTACCTGCAGACGAATTTTCAAACGCCTAGCTCTCATTGGGGCTAAGATCAGAGGGGGGGGGGGGATACTTTTGGCCAGTAGTGTAGCATTGAACATAAGGCAATCGAACACGAATGACAAACGAAAGAAATACTGATAAAATGAGTCACCATTCAAGCTTTTAGACACAAAGTATAGAGAAGATACCTCAACTGGAAAGAGGAAGACAATATATAACCGACAAAGCTATCTATTGATCTTGAACAAGGCACTCATTAATTGTGGATTATGAGGTGTTGAACTAACTGAGTTTATCAAAGAAAGAGTTCTATCTTCTGTCGCCTATGCATTTTTTGGCATATGGATTTTAATCCCACAGAGAATTC